TCCATTATATTTCCAAGTTTACTATGTTTGTTTCATCATTCATTTGTACCTGATGATGCTTGCTTGTGTTGCAATCGAAACGTCGTATTCCATTACTATTTAATTCACTTTCTTCCGACGTGACTTTACCGAAAGAACCAAATAGTAATTCCGGCAGTCACGAAAGCTTCGAATCCGGTTAGGTGACATAGAGACGAGACAGACAGCTGAGGAGCCCGATTTGAATGTTCGCCATCTTGTTACGATGTTGATATCCTGCGAACACTCCACCTCGTCATGAATCCGTGGCCCCCTTGGCTTCGTTCGCTCACAGCCGAGCGCCAGCCCAAGGCACTGGCGGCCCCCCTGAGCTTGTCTGCCAAGGCCGTTGACGTTCACTGGCACAAAAAGGGGGTCCCACAGATTTAACTGCTCGCTCGACCCAAGCTATTAATGCTTTTGACATTGCATCGTCCGTGTTGCCGTTCGCCTATTTGGTGAGCCGAGACAGAGCCATGCGGGGGGGCTGTCTCTGCGACAGCCCCCCCCCCCCCATCAGTTGCACGGACAATGCATACGTTATAAAAGCACGTTTGTTTGCGTGTTTCACCACAAGCATGATGCGTGGTTAATGCAGACTCGATGCCTTGCGATGGGTGTCCATTTAACCTTTTAACATCGTAACACCCACTGTATTAAATTTCGATTTAAAGCTTTCGTGACTGCAGGGATTCATCTTCTTGGTTCTTTCGGTAAAGTCACGTAGAAGGGAAGTGTCATTCAGACTCTGTCTTCTCGACAGACATGTTCTTCACCTGAGGACGGCTGCTTGCGTTGTGGCCGAAACGTCGTGAGAATTATTTTATTATGTTTTATTTTTATTATTTTATTACTCCCCTTCTACGTGACTTTACCGAAAGAACCAAGAAGATGAACCCACTGTATTCTTGCCGGAAAGCGTGAAGTCGATTCTACCCCCAACCCCCTCCCTCCCCCCCCATCATATCACACTGCCACCTTGCTGTGTGTGTATCCAGCCACCATGTGCGCCGTCTATAAGACGACCAATTAGTTCACTTGATACGTGGTAGGGATTTCGTAACCAATACGAGTGATCCATCTATTTTACAGGTAGGAACAACAGGTTCCACACTGCCCACCAGGGATTATTTGTCTGTCTGTCGTGCACGAATGCGCTGTCCAACCAAGTTCCTACCTGCCCACTCCGAAGGAATGTGTTTTAGGGGTCAGTTTAATAACCCAACCTGTAATGGATATCAATTTGTAATTGATACACTTGCGTTAATAACCCCCCCCCCCCAACCCTCTGGCCTTCGTGCTTGATTGGCTCACGTGTGATGACGTCACACCTATCCTCTCTATTTAAGGAACGAAACAGGAGGAGGGTTTCTCCACAAATCTGGCTGTCGCCTGATGATGCCGGTTGTAATTACTGGCGAAACGTCGTACTCGAATTGTAAATGTTGTGGGTTTACTCTCAAACACATCGGTGTGCTGCAATAGTAACGAATTGGCACGTTCTGTTTACGTGACAAACCTTCATGATCGGCTGTGTCGAGTGGTGGCAGGTTTAACGACACATTTCTATTTACGCGATCTAACCCCCCCAAAAAACCCACATCTATTCTGGATGTTTTTTTTATTATTTTGGTTTAGGTCAACCCCAAACACATATCTGGATCGCAAACCAAAGCTCTTAATAACGTGGTTGGTCTCGATCTCTGTTGTATTCCCTTCCGTGTCCCCCCCCCTGATGTTGTCTTCCCATCTCTCTCTCTCCCCGTTCTGACCATTTCCCGCCCCGATTACCGTTCGCGTGCATTGCGTTTGCAAGTCGCGCTGAGACGCTGTAGAAATCGCGGGAGATCGATACAGACCCCGCTTATACCGCGTAGAACGCCGCCATTTTAACCCACGAGGAAATTGTGAACGTGCCTCAAAAGTCTAGATTTGAAGCTTTCGTGACTGCAGGGATTCATATTCTTAGGTTTTTTCGGTAAAGTCACGTAGGTGAAAATTTAAAATTAATAAAAGTAAAATAAAAATAAAATAAAAATCACGACGTTTCGGAGGCAACACAAGCTTCCATCTTCAGGTGGAACCGTCACAGCACGATAGCTGTATCAAGTAAGATATCAAGTAAGATACAGCTATCGTGCTGTGACGGTTCCACCTGAAGACGGAAGCTTGTGTTGCCTCCGAAACGTCGTAATTTATTTTATTTTATTTTTATTTTACTTTTATTAATTTAAATTTTTCACCTACGTGACTTTACCGAAAAAACCTAAGAATATGCCTCAAAATTCCCCACGAAGTAAACCCCCCCCCCCAACCACCCCAGGAGTAAATACAACGCCGAGGGGAATTGTTCGTGATCCTCACACAGACGTGAAAGGGATCCACGTGAGTGACAATGGCTTTCCACAGCACGGCACAGCACACCCAATCATGCCACGCCACGTCACGGCACGTCACACCACGTCAAACCGTCTTCTTACCCACGTGTGCGCGGCGTGCTCAGCCACGTGCTCAGCCACGTGCTCGCTCAAGGTCAGGCTAGAGCCTTACAAAGTTGTGTGTGTGTGCTTGTGTGTGCGCGTGCATAAACATGTGTGTGCGGGCTTGTGTGTGTGCGGGTTTTGTGTGTGTGTGCGTGTGTGTAATGCACTGTACGATGTGAGTAGGTGCTTTTTGACTACACTCGCCCCAACAATGATATATGGGGGATCTGAGGCGCCCTTTCCCCCCCTTCCAACCCAGCTTATATATATGCTCCAAGCACGTGTGCTGTTTCATTCAGACGCTGTCGCCTCGACAGACCTGGTTTTCGCCTGAGGACGGCTGCTTGCGTTGTGGCCGAAACGTCGTGAGAATTGTTTTATTATGTTTTATTTTTATTATTGTATTACTTCCCTTCTACGTGACTTTACCGAAAGAACCAAGAAGATCTGTGTCTTGTTGATGTCAGTGTGTGTGAGTCAACGTGTAGGTCGACTCAGTCTCAAATGAGAACATGGCGCGATGTGTAAACACCGCCACTTGGGAGACAAAGGCGGCCAGGCGTGGTGCTGGCCTCCGACCCCCATTAACAGTACTTGCCCCGACAGTATCTTAAAGGGGCCGTCCATAAATGACGTCACGCATTTTGGACGATTTTTTACCCCCCCCTTCGTCACACGACGTCACAAAAAGTCAGACCCCCCCCCTCAAATATGACGTCACAAAGCTCTGCCCCTCCCCCCAAAAATAAATAAAACATGCTTCAAGTCGCTTTAAACTATTGTCATTGTAGTGCGTATTTAATGTGGCGCTGCACTCTGATGTTGTAGGAGAAAACATTTATTAAAAAGTCTATTTAATTAAGTAGAACGTGTTGTCTATATTTATTTAAAGTTGCACATTTTGATGTGACGTCACATTTCTCAACCCCCCCCCCCCTCGTCACACATCGTCACAAATGTCTGACCCCCCCCCCCAGGTGCGTGACGTCATTTATGGACGGCCCCTAAAGACTTTTTTAAATCCTTTATATTAAGTTCACTTGCTTGCTTGCTTACGACCGTGCAAATCTTTTGGTCGTTTTTTAACCCACTTCCCGTGATCCAATCGATCTGACATTTTCCACACAGACTCTTTGTGCGTGACAATTAATGTTCGTGAACATTTTTTTTCCAACATTTTACACTTTTTAGGACAAAAATATTATATTTAATTACCAATTGCTTAATGGTGCCAAGCAATCATCTGACCCATAGGTGGCAGCCATCTCAAGCCAGAGGACGAGAGGACTCTAGCCGCCACGCATATAAAGGATTTATAGTGAAAAACTTTGTTTTTACGGGTTATACTTGTTAGTGTATTCTGGTATATGCATGCATCTATACATATTCCTGTATGTACATACGGGTACATACATAAATACCTCCGTTTATATGTATGACCATACATGTATCACATACATATTACGCGAATGTGCTCGGTGGTATGTTGGACATGTGTGTACTTGCGTGTTCTCACGCCTGCAATGTGTGTGTGTGTACATGTATGTGTGTAACGTGCGCACGTGTGTGTGTGTACGTGTGTAACGTGCGTGTGTGTGTACGTGTGTAACGTGCGTGTGTGTGTGTATGTGTGTAACGTGCGCGCGTGTGTGTATGTGTGCAACGTGTGTGTATGTGTGTACACGTGTGTGTGTGTGTACACGTGTGTGTGTATGTGTGTGTAACGTGCGCGTGTGTGTGTGTACACGTGTGTGTATGTGTGTAACGTGCGCGTGTGTGTGTGTAACGTGTGTGTGTAACGTGTGTGTATGTGTGTACACGTGTGTGTATGTGTGTGTATGTGTGTACACGTGTGTGTATGTGTGTACACGTGTGTGTATGTGTGTACACGTGTGTGTGTATGTGTGTAACGTGTGTGTATGTGTGTGTGTATGTATGTGTGTAACGTGTGTGTATGTGTGTACACGTGTGTGTACCCGGGCTGGGCAACTGCTGTCCACAGCCGGCGTCATCACCTGTTAAGTGAGAGCATCAGCTGTGAGCCCCGTGTGGAGAGGCTCACAAGATCCACACACAAAGACAAAGATCCCCCGTGTAGCCCGAACAGACTGTTGGGGCAAGTGCTGTTAGCGAGCACCTATGAAGGCCGGCGCGGCGCACGAGGGGGTGGGTGGCCAGAACCACGCCCGGCCGCCTTTGTCTCCCCAGCGGCGATGTTTACTACACACCGCACCAAGTACTCATTTGAGGCTGAGTCGACCTAGGGGGAGGCCCAGGACCGGTTTAGATAATCGTCACCGGTGTTGGCCGTGAGCGGGGATCGAACCCGGGGGGCTGGGTTCGTAGCGCAGCGTAGCGCTAACCGCTACACCACCGCTCTCCACAAAGACAAAGATCCCCCGAATAGCCTTCATAGACTCTTGCGGGGCGGCTAGACGGGCGGGGGTGGGTGGGTGGGGGGGTCTTTGTGCGAACTTCTCACTGCGTCAAGTCACTCACCCGTATGGCCGCTGAACAAACGTAGGGAACTGTTGAACACCAAATCCATAACCTGCACACACACACACGTACACACACACACACGTGTACACACACACGTGTACACACACACACGTGTACACACACACACACACGTGTACACACACACACGTGTACACACACACACGTGTACACACACACACACGTGTACACACACGCACGTGTACACACACACACACGCACGTATACACACACACACGCACGTGTACACACACAAGACACAAAACTGGTTATGCACGGTGATGGTGGTGGTGCATTGTGCAATTCTCAAAACCAAATGCGACGCTCATTCATCCATCAGCCGAGCGGCCCTCTGAAGCAACGCGTCTGAGCATCGCCAACGCCGCTGGCACGGGGAGGGGACTGGCGTGGCTCAGGTCGCGGGGTTTGCTGGGCCAGGTGAGAGAGAGAGCACGAGGAGTCTCGTTTTCATAGCTGTCAACCCAGTATCAGTGCCCAAGGGTATTGCGGACCAGTTCAGACATTATTGGTTTACCCCGTGCGCCCTTACACATCTCAACGTTCATCCTACACAGTCCCATCGCAAGAAAGAAACACAAGCAGACGATCACCACTACTACACTCACCACTGGTACACTCACTAGTACACTCACCACTAGTACACACACCACTGGTACACTCACTAGTATACTCACTAGTACACTCACCACTAGTACACTCACCACTGGTACACTCACCACTAGTACACTCACTACTACACTCACCACTAGTACACTCACCACTAGTACACTCACCACTACTACACTCACCACTAGTACACTCACCACTAGTACACTCACCACTGGTACACTCACCACTAGTACACTCACTACTACACTCACCACTAGTACACTCACCACTGGTACACTCACCACTACTACACTCACCACTAGTACACTCACCACTGGTACACTCACTACTACACTCACCACTAGTACACTCACTAGTACACTCACCACCGGTACACTCACCACTACACACCTGTCAACCCCTTATCAGTGCCCTACCTTATTACAGACCTCATCGCTCACCCCGTGCTCCTGATAAATCTCGACGTTCATCCTACAAATATCCACACCTGTTCTTGGTTCATTCGGTAAAGTCACGTAGAAGGAAAATAATAAAATAATACAAATAAAACATAATAAAATAATTCTCACGACGTTTCGGCCACAACGCAAGCAGCCGTCTTCAGGTGGTCTTCAGGTGGAGAACAGGTCTGTCGAGAAGGCAGACTCTGCCTTCTCGACAGACCTGTTCTCCACCTGAAGACGGCTGCTTGCGTTGTGGCCGAAAACGTCGTGAGAATTATTTTATTATGTTAAATTTTTATTATTTTATTATTTTCCTTCTACGTGACTTTACCGAAAGAACCAAGAAGATGAATCCCTGCAGTCACGAAAGCTTTAAATCGAAATTTATCCACACCTGCCATGCCTCCCATACTGCCACGTGACCCCCCCCTCCCCATCACCCACGCACCGATCTTCCCGTAATCTTCCCGGTCAGAATCTGAATATTTATTTACACCGGATGAATCCGATGAGCTATGAAGCTCTCCCCCCCCCCAATACAAACGCCCACACGCTTGCTGCCCTCCCCCACGTGGCCTGCCCTCCCCTGCCCACGTGGCCTGCCCTCCCCTGCCCACGTGGCCTGCCCTCCCCTGCCCACGTGGCCTGCCCTCCCCTGCCCTGTCCGTGCCTGGCTGCATGACGCGCGGCTTGGCGCCGATGTAGGCGAGGTTGACGTTCGCCTTCCTGCCGTCGATGATCGGGTTGGGGTCCTTGCAGGCGCGCTCGGCCGCGCCGCGCTCACACATGGTGACCTGCGGCGGCGCACGCACAGGTGGGCACGCACGTACAGGTGAGTGCACCACACGTGCACACAGGCGAGTACACACACACGCACAGGTGTGTACACGTGCACAGGTGCACAGGTGTGGTGGGTAGACGCACGCACGCGACTACACACACACAGGTCAGTACACAAACAGGTGAGGACACAACCAACGCACGCAGGCGTGTACACGCACAAGGTTATACACACACACAGACGTGTACACGCGCGTACAAGTGTGTACACACAGACGTGTACACGCTCAAGTTAAAACACACACACACGTGTACACGCGCGTACAAGTGTGTACACACAGACGTGTACACGCTCAAGTTAAAACACACACACACGTGTACACGCGCGTACAATTGTGTACACACAGATGTGTACACGCTCAAGTTAATACACACACACACAGACGTGTACACGCGCGTACAGGTGACTATATGCACGCAGATGGGGAGACACAGCTGAATACACGTACAGACGCAGTTGAATACACGAGGTGTGTGTGTGCACGCGTGCGTGATGTGTGCATACATCGGACGAGGCGAGTACACACAGCCACCAACAATAATACGCAGCAGTGGCCAGGAGTCGAACTTAGGCCGTCGGGTTCACACAGCGGAGCGCGCTAACCGCAGCGCCACCGCTCCACGTTGCACCACGTGTACACGGACCCTCTGGTGAGGTCTGGGCGAGACGCCACGCGCCACGTGGGGTCGAGGGTCCAGTGGACGCGACTTCGACCGGCACCAGGCCAGCGATGGCAATTCCACATTCCCACGCCGGGGACCAGTTCTCTCGTCGATGATGGGACTGTGGCCAGATCTTGTCGACGATACGGGACCTCCTGGGCGTTACGCGTGCAGGTGAATAAACGATGACGTCGCTCGACTGATTTGGAGTGAGACCTCTGCTGCACTTAACTAAACTACAAGATTTCGATTTAAAGCTTTCGTGACTGCAGGGATTCATCTTCTTGGTTCGTTCGGTAAAGTCAGACGCTGTCTCCCCGACAGACCTGGTCTTCACCTGAGGACGGCTGCTTGCGTTGTGGCCGAAACGTCGTGAGAATTATTTTATCATGTTTTATTTTATTATCTTATCATTCCCATTCTACGTGACTTTATCTAAAAAACCGAGAAGATAAACTACAAGATGTATTCAATCTTGATTTGAAGTTTTCGTGACTGCTGGGATCCATACTCTTTGGTTATTTCGGTGAAGTCACGTGGGTAGAAATAAAACAAAGGCAGCAGACATCGTGCTGCTCGCAGCAGACATCGCGGCTATCGAGATTCTCACCTGAAGACGAACGCTTGTGTTGCGTTCAAAACGTCGTGATTTATTTCGTTTTATTTCTACCGACGTGACTTTACCGAAAGAACCAAAGAATACAGGATATAGATTTGTTTTTACCTGGCAAAGACCATTGGAGCTATTTTTATCAGAAATGGCCTGGCTATCGCAAATAATCGCCCAACGGAAGTGGCTTATCACGTGGAAATTCATAGCAGCCCAAATACTCTAAACGCGCGATGTTGATTCTAAATGTGGAGGGATAAGCCGGAGGACCCGGAGAAAAATCCACGCGACCACGGTCAGAGAGAGAGAGACATGCAAACTCCAAATATACAACAGCAGGCGTCAGGGTCGGGATCGAACCCACGACCTCCTGTAGACCAGGCGAGGTAGTTAACATCTCCTAGCCACCGTGATGATGAGAGAGAGAGAGAGACACGCAAACTCCAAATATACAACAGCAGGCGTCAGGGTCGGGATCGAACCCACGACCTCATGTAGACCAGGCGAGATAGTTAACATCTCCTAGCCACCGTGATGATGATGAGAGAGAGAGACACCCAGACTCCAAATATACAACAGCGGGCGTCAGGGTCGGGATCGAACGTACGACCTCCTATGGACCAGGCGAGGGAGTTAACATATCCTAGCCACCGTGATGATGAGAGAGAGAGAGAGACGCAAACTCCAAATATACAACAGCAGGCGTCAGGGTCGGGATCGAACCCACGACCTCCTGTAGACCAGGCGAGGTAGTTAACATCTCCTAGCCACCGTGATGATGAGAGAGAGAGAGAGAGAGAGACGCAAACTCCAAATATACAACAGCAGGCGTCAGGGTCGGGATCGAACCCACGACCTCATGTAGACCAGGCGAGATAGTTAACATCTCCTAGCCACCGTGATGATGATGAGAGAGAGAGACACCCAGACTCCAAATATACAACAGCGGGCGTCAGGGTCGGGATCGAACGTACGACCTCCTATGGACCAGGCGAGGGAGTTAACATATCCTAGCCACAGTGTACCCTCTCCACAGCCACGAGTGCTCGGTGACTAAAGCACTGGGCGAAGGTGATTTCGCTTCGGTGGAGGCTGACGGGTAAAACCCCCGACTAGGCAGCAACGATTCAAACAGTGCCTTGGGCCAGATGCTCAGAGAGCCCCGACCAGGGCTGTTCCTCGCACGGATAACATCGTCTCGGGCCGTCTACTTCAGCAGAGGTGTAGGTGGGGGGGGGGGGATTTCAACAGGACCCCAACATACTCTTTGGTTCTTTCGGTAAAGTCACGTAAATGAAAAATAAAAATAATACATATGTAGCTACTTGTGCTACTGGGACAATCCGGCACTGCCTGTGTCCCCTTCGCTGCGTTCTAGCCCACCCTACGCTCCGCAACGCAGAGTGGGTGGGGGGGGCAGGGTGAGTGGGGGGCAGGGGGGCAGTGAGGGTGGGTGGGGGGGCAGGGGAGCAGAGTGAGTGGGGGGGGGAGGGTGAGTGGGGGGGGGCAGGGTGAGTGGGGGGGCAGGGGGGCAGGGTGAGAGGGGGGGGCAGGGGGGCATGGTGGGTGGGGGGGGTCCCAACTCACAAATCCATATCCGCGGGACTTTCCCGTCTGCCGGTCGGTGATCACCACCGCCTCATCGATCTCCCCGAACGCCTCGAAGTACTTCCTGAGCGACGCGTCCGTGGTGTGGTAGGGCAGCCCCCCGACGAAGATCTTGGTGAAGGTGGTGTCCTTCTGCATCTCCGCCCTGCTGCCCCGAGACGCAACAAAGACAAAGATCCCCCATATAGCCTTAACGGACTGTAGGGGCAAGTGCTGTTAGCGAGCACCTACGAAGGCTGCATCGGTACACGCCCGGCCGCCTTTGTCTCCCCAGTGGCGATGTTTAGACACCGCACCAGGTACTCATTTGAGGCTGAGTCGACCTAGGGGAGGCCCATGACTGGTTCAGATAATCGCCAGCGTAAATCGAACTCGGATGGCCAGGTTCGTAGTGCAAGCGTAGCGCTAACCGCTACACCACCGCCCCCCCCCACACACACAGATGGAGGGACTCACACACACACAGAGAGAGAGAGACAGATAGAGGCACAGAGATAGGCAGAGACAGACACAGAGGGACAGAGACAGATAGAGACACAGAGATAGGCAGAGACAGACACAGAGGGACAGAGACAGATAGAGGCACAGAGATAGGCAGAGACAGACACAGAGGGACAGAGACAGATAGAGACAGAGAAAGGCAGAGACAGACACAGAGGGACAGAGACAGATAGAGACACAGAGATAGGCAGAGACAGACACAGAGGGACAGAGACATATAGAGACACGGGCATAGATACAGAGAGCGACAGATAAAGACACGGACAGACAGAGACGTGTAGGTACAGAGTGAGAGAGACAGATACAGAGAGACACAGAAGTGAAACCATTCGCACTACACGCGTAGACCCATACCGTTCACGCGGTCACCTGGTGTCCACAGTGTGTGTGGCCACGGTGTGATAGCTCAACGTATTCCATTACGAAAGTCAACTAGCCCCGTGTATGTGTAACTGAGATACACCCTGCGTCTGAGTCGAACTTTTCACGAGCCCTGCCTTGGTACAAATTGATGCCAATTCCTGAGCGATTCACTGAGCGATTCACTGAGTGACTCAGTGAGTGACTTACTGAGCGACTCACTCAACAGCTGAGCGACTGAGTAACGGACCGATACATATTCACTGGACGGCCTCTAAGTAGCGGACTGATGTATTAGCTGGGCGACTGATCCACTCACTGAGCGACTTACTGAACACGTTTAATGACTGAGTAAGTTGACTGATCTAGTCACTGAGCGACTGAGTAGCAGACTGACCTATTCACTCAGCAAATCACTTGACATTCGAGTGACTGAGTAAGTTGACCGATCTATTCACTGAGCTGACTAAGTAGCAGACTCACCTATTCACTGAGTGAATCACGTGACATTCAAGTGACTGACTAAGTTGACTGATCTATTCACTGAGCTGACTAACAGACTGACCTATTCACTCAGCAAATCACTTGACATTCGAGTGACTGAGTAAGTTGACCGATTTATTCACCGAGTGATTCAGCTCGGAGCGACCACTATACGACGGGAGACCTACAAATATGACACGGGGACATTTCTTGAAGACTTCACTCAAAAGCTGCGTCGCTCGCCCAACAGCGCAACAAGGTGGCCGAGTGGTCGTGTGGTTTGGTGGTGGTGGCGGTGGTGGTGGCGGTGGTGGCGGTGGTTACGGGTGACTTCCCTCGAACGGACTCACCGAGTGAACGATCAAAAAGAAAAGCAGAGCGACTTCTCCTTCGCGGCTGCGACAAAACAACAACAACAACAAAACGCCCCCCAAAAAAATCCCCCAAATCCAGTAGCCACCGGGGCTCGCTTGCGTTGAGCAGACTCGCTACACAATTCAACACAAGCAGCAGCAGCAGTCGCGACAGCAAAAGAGTTACTCGACGAAAGGAGAAGGGGGGGAGACTTGAACCTGGTGGGTCGACTGAGCGACGACAGATCAACGCTACGACTGAGTTGACCGAGTGGCTGAGAGGGTGGCGGGTTGAGAGAGGAGAGGGAGGGGGGAGCGGTGTCAAGTTGCTTGGAGCCACAGATAGACCCGGGCACGTGGAGGAGAGGGATATTTAGAGACACGCGCATTGCCAGCCCCGTGTCCCGTGAGGGTCCCGACATCACCACCTCCTCCAACATCAACACCATCACCACCATCACCACCATCACCACCACCACCACCTCCAACATCACCACCATCACCACCTCCTCCAACATCACCACCACCACCACCTCCAACATCAACACCATCACCACCACCAGCTCAAACATCACCACCATCACCACCACCATCACCACCACCAACATCACCACCACCACCTCCAACATCACCACCATCACCACCAGCACCAACATCACCACCATCACCATCACCTCCAACATCACCACCATCACCACCAGCACCAACATCACCACCATCACCACCAGCACCAACATCACCACCACCACCACCACCTCCAACATCACCACCACCACCACCAGCACCAACATCACCACCACCTCCAACATCACCACCATCACCACCAGCTCCAACATCACCACCATCACCACCAGCACCAACATCACCACCAACACCTCCAACATCACCACCACCACCTCCAAAATCACCACCATCACCACCAGCTCCAACATCACCACCATCACCACCACCTCCAACATCACCACCATCACCACCAGCTCCAACATCACCACCATCACCACCACCACCACCTTCAACATCACCACCATCACCAGCTCCAACATCACCACCATCAACACCACCTCCAACATCGCCACCATCACCACCACCTCCAACATCACCACCACCACCTCTAACATCACCACCATCACCACCAGCTCCAACATCACCACCGTCACCACCCCCATCACCACCAGATCCAACATAACCACCATCAACACCATCACCAACATCATCACCTCCACCAGCCAATACTAACACCCGCCATTCGCCACTAAGTGACGGTGCACTTTGTGGCCACGTGAAGTGTCAAAGGCTTGCTGCTGACAGCACGAGGTCTCGGGACAGACCCAGCAGGTGCGATGGGTTGGCTGACTGAAATGACCGCTGGTAGATACACCACCAGCTGTACCCCCTACTGTGCCAGGCTAGGTGCAGGAGGAGGTCTCGGGACAGACACAGCAGGTGCCATGGGTTGGCTGAGATGACCGGTAGATGCACCAACAGCTGTACCCTCCTACTGTGTCAGACTCGGTGCAGGAGGTCTCGGGACAGACCCAGCAGGTGCCATCGTTTGGCTGAAATGACCGCTGGTAGATGCACCACCAGCTGTACCCCCTATTGTGCCAGGCTAGGTGCAGGAGGTCTCGGGACAGACCCATCAGATGCCATGGGTTGGCTGACTGAGATGACCGGTAGATGCACCACCAGCTGTACCCCCTATTGTGCCAGGCTAGGTGCAGGAGGTCTCGGGACAGACCCAGCAGATGCCATGGGTTGGCTGACTGAGATGACCGGTAGATGCACCACCAGCTGAACCCCCTACTGTGCCAGGCTAGGTGCAGGAGGTCTCGGGACAGACCCAGCAGGTGCCATGGGTTGGCTGACTGAGATGACCGGTAGATGCACCACCAGCTGAACCCCCTACTGTGCGAACTTGCTGTATGTTAGCCACCAGCTCCAACATTAGCACCATCACAACCACCACCATCACCACCAACATCACTACCACCAGCTCCACCATCACCACCAACATCACTACCACCAGCTCCACCACCATCACCACCAACATAACTACCACCAGCTCCACAACCTCCACCACCATCACCACCAACATAATCACCACCAGCTCCACCATCACCACCAACATCACTACCACCAGCTCCACCACCATCACCACCAACATCACTACCACCAGCTCCACAACCTCCACCACCATCACCACCAACATAATCACCACCAGCTCCACCATCACCACCAACATCACTACCACCAGCTCCACCACCATCACCACCAACATAACTACCACCAGCTCCACAACCTCCACCACCATCACCACCAACATAATCACCACCAGCTCCACCATCACCACCAACATCACTACCACCAGCTCCACAACCTCCACCACCATCACCACCAACATAATCACCACCAGCTCCACCATCACCACCAACATCACTACCACCAGCTCCACCACCATCACCACCAACATAACTACCACCAGCTCCACAACCTCCACCACCATCACCACCAACATAATCACCACCAGCTCCACCATCACCACCAACATCACTACCACCAGCTCCACCACCATCACCACCAACATCACTACCACTAGCTCCACAACCTCCACCACCATCACCACCAACATAATCACCACCAGCTCCACCATCACCACCAACATCACTACCACCAGCTCCACCACCATCACCACCAACATAACTACCACCAGCTCCACAACCTCCACCACCATCACCACCAACATAATCACCACCAGCTCCACCATCACCACCAACATCACTACCACCAGCTCCACCACCATCACCACCAACATCACTACCACCAGCTCCACAACCTCCACCACCATCACCACCAACATAATCACCACCAGCTCCACCATCACCACCAACATCACTACCACCAGCTCCACCACCATCACCACCAACATCACTACCACCAGCTCCACAACCTCCACCACCATCACCACCAACATAATCACCACCAGCTCCACCATCACCACCAACATCACTACCACCACCTCCACCACCATCACCACCAACATAACTACCACCAGCTCCACAACCTCCACCACCATCACCACCAACATAATCACCACCAGCTCCACCATCACCACCATCACTACCACCACCATCACCACCAACATCACTACCACCAGCTCCACAACCTCCACCACCATCACCACCAACATAATCACCACCAGCTCCACCATCACCACCAACATCACTACCACCACCATCACCACCAACATCACTACCACCAGCTCCACAACCTCCACCACCATCACCACCAACATAATCACCACCAGCTCCACCATCACCACCAACATCACTACCACCAGCTCCACCACCATCACCACCAACATCACTACCACCAGCTCCACAACCTCCATCACCATCACCACCAACATAATCACCACCAGCTCCACCATCACCACCAACATCACTACCACCAGCTCCACCACCATCACCACCAACATCACTACCACCAGCTCCACAACCTCCACCACCATCACCACCAACATAATCACCACCAGCTCCACCATCACCACCAACATCACTACCACCAGCTCCACCACCATCACCACCAACATCACTACCACCAGCTCCACCACCATCACCACCAACATCACTACCACCAGCTCCACAACCTCCACCACCATCACCCCCAACATAATTACCACCAGCTCCACCATCACCACCAACATCACTACCACCACCATCACCACCAACATCACTACCACCAGCTCTACAACCTCCACCACCATCACCACCAACATAATCACCACCAGCTCCACCATCACCACCAACATCACTACCACCACCATCACCACCAACATCACTACCACCAGCTCCACAACCTCCACCACCATCACCACCAACATAATCACCACCAGCTCCACCATCACCACCAACATCACTACCACCAGCTCCACAACCTCCACCACCATCACCACCAACATAATCACCACCAGCTCCACCATCACCACCAACATCACTACCACCAGCTCCACCACCATCACCACCAACATCACTACCACCAGCTCCACAACCTCCACCACCATCACCACCAACATAATCACCACCAGCTCCACCATCACCACCAACATCACTACCACCAGCTCCACCACCATCACCACCAACATAACTACCACCAGCTCCACAACCTCCACCACCATCACCACCAACATAATCACCACCAGCTCTACCATCACCACCAACATCACTACCACCAGCTCCACCACCATCACCACCAACATCACTACCACCAGCTCCACCACCATCACCACCACCAACATCACTACCACCAGCTCCACCACCATCACCACCAACATCACTACCACCAGCTCCACCACCATCACCACCAACATCACCACCATCAGCTCCATCACCGCCACTACTATCACCACCAACGCCACATCAATATCACCACCAACATCATTATCATCAACATCATCACCACCAGCAACATCACCTCCAACAATCGCCATCAACATTGCCACTAGCATCACCAACAGCATCACCAAAGACAATTCCATCATGAACAACATCACCAACACCATCATCGCCAACATCACTCCCACCAACATCACTAATTCCAACATCAGCATGACCAATCATCAGCATCATCACAAACATAACCATTAACAGCATCATCATCTTCGACACCACCATCAACCATCAATTCACAACTAATAGCTAAATTTCAGTGGTGAGTGATATCTGAAACCGGTCCTCCTCTAGATGGACTCAGCCTTAAATGAGTACGGTGTGTAAAGATCGCCACCGGGAAGACAAAGGCGGCCGGGCGTGGATGCTGGCCATACCAACCCGTCGTGCGACGATCTGGCGTGAACAGGTGCTCGCTATCGGCACTTTGCCCATCACTCTACGACGGCTATACGGGGGATATGTTTCTTTGTTTTTGTATTTCGCCACCACCAGCAGCACCACCACGCGGGGTAGAGTTCCTCTCTACCCCGCGTGGAGTTAAACTGGGAATAGCATGCGGTGACGTCAGCACGGCGCTTGTGCCAGGCTAGGTGCACTGCGAGGGCCACGTGAAGTGTCGAAGTGTCGCTGGCAGGAGGTCACGGGACATGCCCAGGTGCCGTGGGTTGACTGGCCGGTGCGAATTACAACAACAACAAACAAACAAAGATCCCCCGTGTAGCTTTAACAGACTGTAGGGGCAACTGCTGTTAGCGAGCACCTATGAAGGCCGGAACGGCACACGAGGGGGTGGGTGGCCAGCACCACGCC